GCTCTAGTGGAAGCCACGATAGGTAGCTCAATCCTCTTCAGTCATAGCTGTTTCTATCCTTTTATTTTAATTTAATGCTTGTTGTGCAATAAGCCTTCTGATTTTCGACTGTAGAAGAGTTTTTGGGCATAGCTGTGACAATAGATGATCTGCGAGCCTCAGGTCCAGTGCCTCAGAGCTTTCTTTCCTCAGGCCCTACTAAATCGAGCTCCTCCTCTGACCCCTCGGACGCATTGATGGATACATCTGAGTCATTTACAAAACCCACCAACTCTTCTTTATTGGCATCGAAATCTGGTAGCAAAAAGTCTTCAGATCCAATGAATTGATTACCCCTTTTGAGGTATCTTCGTCTTTTATCTCTATTTCGGTGAAAGACTTTTCGTAGCACTGCTTTGTATTTGTATTGCTATCCACCCTATTTCCTTTAGTAAATTAGTCGTAGATGTTACTCCTCCGTCCCTTTTCTTACTTGAAGTGGAACAATTTGCAAGACTGTATTCTCTGTTTGATCGAGGCGAACAAATGCTACCGCCAGAACATTTTAGGACAAGTCATCCACAGCCTGTCTTGTGAACGCCACTAGTGTCGTCAGTTGACCTTATCAGGTCAGTTGACACCAGTCTATTGTTGCACCTTTGAAGGTAAATCAGTGAAAAGTGCCAGCACGGTTTGGCTGTCATCCTGGGCCAACGTCACAATTATTTTGGGTCTCTGTGGTTGGGTGTGTGTAGCGATGTGTAGAAGTGCATTTGGCTTGTGATCACCGAGAGTGCTGCCAGCAAAACGGTAGTCCGCTTCACTTCGCTTTGGTATCAGATGAGGAGAGATAGCTCGTTCTTCCGGTATAAATAGTGACACTTATTCCTTTCCATTAATGCTTTTTCCGTCTTGAAGGGGTGGGAGGGGAAGGGAGAAAGGTCACTGACCTAACCATTTGGCTCCAAAGGCTTGTGCTTTCACCACTCACAGCTTCTACTAAGCACAATTTTGTCTGCTCACTTCATCCTTCTCCAGTTGGGTAAAGTGACGACGCATTTTTAACGCGTTGTATTTTCGCACGATGAGTCATCGTCTCGGTGATCGCAATCGGGACTTTGTGACACCTCCACGTTCACCAACATCACCTTGACGGATGGCATATCGCCATAGCGACAGCTAACTCCATCTACCTTGGAGGTCATTATTCAACTAGCCAACAAATAAGTGTCACCAACTTGTCGTAAGTTGTGTTATTTCTCAACATCACGAGGCTTCATGTCTTCTCTGCAGTGGTGGGAGGTGAGAGCCGTGGAACGTCATCCTACAGAACCTTCAATTGCCTCGATGACCAAAGCATCATTATGTATTTCGGTGCTATGGACAAATATTCGCTGGCAAAGGTGCTTTACTTCAAAACTAAACATTTTATTGCGGCTAATTTGCTAAAACCTGTCGGGTCCCCAAAACCATTCCGCATTCCCGACGCTTGTCATATGATCACCGCCCATTATGAGGCAATTTGATAAAGGCCTTACGGCTCCATTTTCCGTCAATGCATGTATAAGGAACTTTCCATATCGTTACTTTCAAGAGGACACCCTCCTCATCCTCCAGATTTATTGACGTTCGAATATGAAGGAAAAAATGGCCAAAAAATGTCGCTAAGAGAGGATTGGAAGACGTTGTGGATTTTAGACTGGAAGAATAATTTTATCATAATTTTTATCAACCCCTGTCTGTCCTTCTGCGCAGAATTTAATTCAACACTCAGAATCCAGACCTACGTGAAACAAAGAAAGACGGACTTTCACTATTCACTGACTAATTCGTCCAGCCCTTGATAAAACCGTCCTATCGAAAACAGGTTGACTCTGCTAATGGTGAGGAGTTTCTGACCTCCGTCAAGATCGCCTGCGTCCGAGTTTTCCGTTATTATCTCCAAAATATTCACGTGAATGGAAAAAGCAACTTCAGGCTCCCTCTCCATGAATCTCCTCTTGTCCGTCCCTTGGGTTGGAGTGACTCCAATCACCTTCGTCTCTTGGCGAGAATAAACACATGCCCAAAATCTCAACCATTGAACCAATAAGTGAGCCATGATGACTGCCAACATTGATGAAAAGAGCCTCAGCCCTAACCACAGTGGATGGATGAAGATGAGCTTGTAAAATTCTTCGAAGTTGTTCCCTTACTAGGACCGAAAGGACCGACGGACATCAGGACCTCCAAAGAGGTGGTTAGAGTCACGAGTACTTATGGCTACACACTGTAAGGATCACACCGAGACGCCAAAGGCAATTTAAGGTCTGAACTCATCTCCTCGGCTGCCTTTGCTCTTCTCTTCCACTGTCGGGCGAACAGGAGTGTTCCTATTCCATGGAATTGATTCCCATCCGCTAAACTGCACTTGGCGGAGGAGGCATCGCTATTGCTCGAAGCGGTCAAGGGAACTGGGATTACAGTTTTTTACTTAGCATTGACTTTCCACTTCCCCTTCAATGTAACAACTTTGCCACCGGCGACACCTACAACGGTGAGGTGTCGCGATCACGAAGCCTTACACACGGTCACGAGGAGGAGGTGCGACATCGCAATAGCACCTTGCAGTACAGGGCGTCAAAGTCTAAATCAGCGTCACCATGGCAGACACATGATTGACCGCGTTCGCTAAATCGTACTGTAGAGATGCTCCGGTTTGCCATACGGACTCAATTACGATGAGCAATGAGGCTACCTACGTTGTCATAGCAACAGCAATGACCTCAGCGAACACAATGGCTAAACAAATGGAGGTGATACAAATGAACTCCATCCACTTCACGGCCTACTGAAGGCATTCAGACTCTTAGGAGTTGGTGTAAGTCGGCATTGATGGCATGCCATCAGGGCAAACGGGGTTGGGGGTAGGGGAGGGGAGGAGCAAGAAAAGGGAAGCGGAGAAGAAGTAGAAGGAGGAAGAGGAGGAGCAGAGGAAGGAGAATGAGGAAGAGGCTACACGCAGCCCACAAAGACAAAGAATTTGAATAAATAGCGTAGATAGACCGAAAATTGATGAGAGTGGAGACAGACTTCATCAACAACCACTGAGATGACAACCATTCTACTCTCATTCTACGTAGCACAATAGTGTTGACACTGGAAGTTTACGCCACGAGAACAGCAGTTCCGCGTATGTTAGACATGGGAAGGCTAACTAAAGACTTCATCGTTCAGAGGAGCGACCACCTGCACCATCCAACGACGCATAAGGAACCAATTCCACGGGACTTCTGCACTCCTCCACTCTAATTGCAATGTGATTGATTGTACAAGGCTTTTACTTTCGAGAGGATGGACGAAGTTCTCCATAGAAAACGCCTACTTTTAAACCAAAACCTGACTTATTATAACCCTGCCAGATGTCCTTTCAAAAAAGATTAAAGTGACCGCCGGATTGCATTTTGGTTGATTAAATTGTCCTCTGTGAAAGAGAGGCGCAAAGTCAATTCAGATGCTGAGGTTGAAGAAGATGACGATCCACACCTCAACATGCGTGAGTCTCATTTCCCTGTACCGCATTTGTAGGTGTCACTTGAACCCGCTTTGAACCACTCCCCCCTCCTATGAGGACGAAGGCAAAGGATCTGAACCTGTTTCTCACGTCTCCCACTTGACCTTTTACAAAAATGATAAGGTCCTGGGACCCGACCACCGTGTTAATCGTCATTAATGTCACCACAAATCCCTCATTTGTACGCTTTATAGCGGCCATTGCACAACCAACAAAGACAATGAAGGGTTTTCTGTCATACCGCATGCTTTACTTGTCCCCGGTGGGTGACAGGTGGATGTTCTCGGTTCAAGCTCAGCGCTTGAGGGGCGTGTGAATGACCCGCTCGGAGCGTAATAGTCACGCCTCTACTTCGCGCCCATTTCCATTCCAGCGTGGGACGCTCTGCGGTGTCGAATAAGGGCATTTAGGAGAGATCTTCTTGGCAGCTTCAACCATCTCCTTTACCATTTACGTGGTTGAGTTGCTTGTGTAGTGCTAGTGGGACTGCCTGTGTTAGGGAGCCAGAGACTATCATGCGTTCGGGCTTCGCTACATTCGCCCTGTTTACTGAGTCCACTAGAGCCGTATCGTGGTCGGAGGCACGTGCGATTCCCCAGTAGTGGTGAGTAGATTTGCTCAATAACAATGCGTCGAGTGAAACGCTTCTTTCCCCAATCGAAGAGGGTCTGTAGAGCACTTCGCCTGCGTTATTATGAGTGCTGCCGCAGTTATTTCGACGAGTGAGCAGTTAACCCCTTTCATCATTTTCTATTACGTTAAGACTTGTTGATCTGTACGCACCACAAATTATCTGTCCAACAAGCAGCGTTTCAAATGCCTCATCACTGCATCGATGGCAGACACCTCTCGACTGGTTACGCTCTTCTGTCCCATCTTTTTCTGTTCAACTGCCAGTGCACATAGCCCATGACGTGCTCTCCTCTATTATTGTGAATTCGCGATTGGCCTCCAGCACGAAGGGCACATCAATGACATCAAAGTTAGGCAAGGGCAGAATCGGTGCCGTATGAAGAGGGCGTTGTAACACCTGAAAAGGTCCGCATGTGACAAGTTACCCAGCCAATGTCCTAATCATTTCTTTTTCAGTCACCTTGTGCTATGGTCCTGTAATCTTGGCAAAAGTCTTGACTAAACGATGACAGTGGAATGCTAGACTGAGGAGCCGATGAAGTTAGGTTTGTTTAGCGAAAGTCGACCACGTCCTCACTTGATCTCCATCACATCAGCAAAGATTGTGTCCCAAGATGAATGAGCTCTGGAGAAAAGGGCCATTTCTTCGGATCCTGCATCAGGCCTGCTTCTCGAAGACTGTCCAACACCAGTCATATATTCCAGCTGTGCTGTTGGATTTATCTCCCACCGACGAGACCGTCATCCGAGCAGATAATGTGGTGCTTCGGGAAGAAGAGACCTCGCAATGCTGTTTGCATTATTGCAGCCACAGAGTCGTAAAGTCCGAGAAGCATTACGTGAAGTTGTACTTTTCCTTGGCGTTCTCCACTACCGCCACTTGCCAACAACCAGATTTCAAGTTCAACATTGAGAACAACTTGACCGCTTGTGGCGAGTCCACTGAGGCTTCCTTCTTTGCCTCTGCGTTCAATTGTCTGCAATCGACACACACTTTTCGATCACTGCCGCTGTTCTTCAGCGAATCAGAATGAATTTGGAGAACCGATGATGCCGTCGTGAGACCTTTCATCGATTAAACGCCGCACGTTATCATTGGAGAGGAGGTGGTATGCGTCTGAACGGTTGCCATACCGACTTTGCCTCACCAGTATCGATCTTACGGGTAACGGTGTTAGTTGGTCCCACTCTTAACTCCGTTCACGAGAGCATAGCTCAGCACTTGGTGAGCAGTGAATGCAGTCCCGCCGAGACCTCTGTAACTAGCTTTATCCGTGATCGAAATTCACTTAGATTCGTTTAGCAATGACCAGAGCCGTGAAGTGGGGCCTGCAAAGGTAATCTGCATCTGGGTTCGGGAGTTCGGGTACTGTTCTTGAAACGTAATAGGGTCGTGAGCATTCCTTCCGTAAAGTGCAAGATGGCATGAGTCAGACGTTAAAAGTTGGCACCTAATATCGCATCTCAGGCAAGATTTGGGCATAGCAAGAAATTTACTTTCAAACTCCTGTTTCCGATTGTGATTCAGATGAAAGTTTCTTCTTTAGTCGCATAGCCTTGTAACAGACAGGCAGAGCCATATCTTGCTATAAATCAGGATAAAAGCAGCTGAATGTAATAAAAAATAAGTCACCCCATGTTCGGACATAAAGCACACAAGTGACCTCCCAATTTACCCGATCACATGATACTCACAGTGAAGAAAGCATGGAGAAGAGAAATACAACTCACTGTGATTCAATGAAACTTCACAACGGAGTGGTCATTGTTCTGAGGGTTAAGACACCTGGAATGACGAATGGGATAGACTTCCGATCAGAGATGGAGTTCTCGAATTTTGCAGATGGACATCTCCATCAGTAGGTCGAGCATGCACGTTCTCAACAGGGCCAACTATTTGCCTAAGGCGGATGGGCGAAATCACCTTTTGAATTGGACTGAGATCAGCAATGGCATTTGTTGGAGATGGTAGCCTTTCAAAGCTTTTATATCAGGAGTTAAATGTTCATTTCCAACTTCGTATCTCCTATACTTGACTACTTAGAGAACGAACAAATTCAATCAAGCCTACTGAAGGAAGGTGAGTTCAGTAACCAGGAAAGCCGAGAAAATATGGCCAAAATAGAAAGAACTTTCCATAGATGGTAAAACAGTGTATACAAGAACAATGAAGGAGGCACCAAACGCCTCGTGGATCTAGGCTCACTAAGTCGGACAGTCCAACTAGTACTATACGAGCAACTTGGCCACATAAGGTCAAAGGCAATGGTTGAAGCTGAAAAACATTTCTGACTAATGTAATGTCGGTGGGTTATTGGCATATTTATAGGGCACCACACTCGAATCAAATGCCCGCTGTTAAATATCAGAGAGAATTGAAGTGCATAAATGCATCACAGATATAAATAGTAGTATGTAATCATATGCCTAAAATAAACATGATTTGATCTTATTGGTACGTTTGTGCAAGTTGACCTAACATAGATATAGTTAATAATATCCGGGTTAACTAACCCTCAAATAACCTAGCGCACTAATCAAATTAGCGAATTAAATTAAGGCACAATTTTAACATCTGCTGAATGTTCCGAAATACATTTCAAAGTGGTTTCTTATCCATTCTATTTAGCATCGGTTCTAAACCGTTGCAGATTTGGGATAAAATGGTATTATTGTTGCCAATTTACGCCCTTTGACGGCGTAGTATCCGTTAAATTCCTTTGATGTCCTAATTCGGATCGGCTGGCGTAATTTTTTTCAGGTTCGCAATGGACATATAAAACGCACAACAGATAACGATATTGAATCATTGGTACTCGAATTGGTTGGGAACAATGTCAGTACTACTTATATCACTTGTCCAGCTGACATAACAAAGAGTCTGGGCATCAAATTACCCATCCTTGTCCTTATAGTTAAGAACATGGATCGGTACTTTACCTTCGAAGTTCAGGTGCTTTTAGTAACTGTATTTGGATAGTGATTCAATGCTTCTTTTTAATTTTAATTTGGTTTGTGAATCAATGATGTTGTCTATATTTGCGGATGTGATGAAGTAGATGTGCCTTTTTTTCAAAGGTTTTATTTTGGATATTATTAGAGCAATTAAATGAGCCGAATAATTAAGTTATATGTGTTGTAGTGTTGAGAGATTGTGAGCGTTCGTATTTCCTAAAGTAATGGTTAAGTTGACTCCCTCCTCTATGACTTTAGATCCTCGACGACAAAGGCATAAAGCGACGTTTTCGAGCCAGCAACTTTCAGAGCACAACGCGTGTAAAGCCCTTTATCTGCACGATGCCACTGCGAATGGAGGAGAAGTGGAATCAGTTACAGCTGAACCTTGCTGATTTGACCAAGCGTGCCTATGGAACAAATTTTGTGGAAGTACTCCGTGTCCAAGTAAGAGGCTACATCTAAAATTCTAAGTCTATACAAACTCATTTTCGTCTGGAAGTTGATTGTTTTATAACAGAGTCGGAAGCATTTCTTCCTGCAGAATCGTTCCTCCTACTCAAATATTGTAGTTCTAACACTACTACTATGCCTTTGCGAAACATGTTCCTTGGTCTGCATGGAGCTACGCTTAATTCAAAATCCCACTACTAATGTCTTAAATTGTGCTGATTTGGTGCTTCTGGTCCTCCTTTAGGTCCACGCCAATTGTAGATTGCGTCGAATATTTTTCAGCGATCGTTTGTACAAAGAGACCGAACTTCCAGCCGAATTTAAGCTCTATCTGCCGATCACGCAAACAAAAACTGACGAATAATTTGTCTCCTTTTACTCTCTGTTCATAGTATCTCTCTTATTTAAACTTGTCTGTAAACGTTAAATTGTTTTGATCCGTTTGGAATTGTTAGGTTGTGGATATTCGCAGTTCGTGTCGTTCGCATTTCACTTTGAAGCATTTTTATCTAATTTCATGTTAAATGGTAGTTTTGCTATCATGATTTGCATCTCATTTCACACATTGGTTTTTACAGTCGTTCTTCACTTTCTATCACCATTCCATCGTCCTTGGGCTCTTCTATAAGTTGAAGTGAATCGTAGTGTAGGAGCAGTAAATCCATTGCCATGACACAGAATATTTTGCAAGTTCTACTCTGCCTGAAGATCATTTAGGGCAAAGGGAAGTACGGGAGTGGTCACTCAAATCGTGGCATTCGATAGCCCAGTTAAACGAGTTAAATAAACACTACAATGCGCTATGATATGTTACTGGTTTTCTACGATCTCAGGAAATTCTATGGGAGATCTTCAACCAAAACCACATTTGAGACGTTTCCCCATGCCACTTGTAGGTACAGTCCCAATGTTGAGGAATCATTTCAGAGTCAGCATTGTTGAGTGCCAGCTTGCTGCCATTTCTTTTGATGTAATATTTTATTATCCCATCCCCACTAACCATTTCAGGATCTAGTTCTTAAATTATCCATTGTATTATAATGCATGTCATCTATTGCACACAATGGAGTCGCGATGCAGCGAACTCAGTTAGTCCTAGAGAAGACAAAATGACAGAAAACTGGAGAGATGGAGGAAGGAAGGGGGAAGTGTTTACACGTTTGGCGAATGGAATCGAGTCAAAGCTGTTGTCATAAGTTAGGAGTCAATCCTTCCGATCAGAGCGTTATGGTACTTTAAGCGACCATAATCGGAACTGCTATTAAAACAAACAACCAACTATGCTACGGGCTCTTTCTCCCTTTTACCAACATCATCATCGACTCCTCGGTCAATCCTCCACATCAGCCATCACAGTGTACTTGTTGGTGAAAAAAACACCTACAAGCCAGCTGTGTTGGTCATCAAAATCTTGCGCAACTGATAAGATAAATAACAGCATCGCCTTGGCAATTCCGCGGTATGCCAAGATGTTGGCAAGAGTTCGATAACTTTATGGTTAAGGTATATTCAGGACAAGTACTTAAATCGAACATACATCGATAGTAAAACATGTTCGTTGAAAAGCATTAGCGTTTTAATGTGCAGTCAGGCTGGATTTCCAGTTCGCTAAATTTATACGGTGAGTTCCGGCTGGTATCCCATGCGAAGTGCTTAGCCTCTGACTTTTGTTAACAATAATACTCTACTGAAACATTTTAAGTAGCTATTTAATTTTAATCTTATGCGGCTGGGTTTAAGTCTGAAAGTGTAATGCACAAAATAGGTGGTTAAAAAATTAACTCATTTGAAACAAACTGGCGAAATCTCCTATAAAGGCAAATATTTATCAGATTTAGGTCCATAGCTTTAACAAAGAGGAGTGCAGCCGACAATTAACCGGTTTTGCGCTCTCCTTTCCTCACTCCTAGTACATTTGCCTATCCACTGAAATTACTTATTCCGTATGGTTCTTTAAATAAAGCAAGATGACGGGAAACATCATTTTTGAAAAGGAGGATAAATCCTCGGCTTTATTTACAGCCATTCGGCAGAAGGTGTATTAGACCCCACCGACGAGAACATTATTGCACAGCGTAATGTTTTACGACTTGGAAGGAAATCGCTCCAATGTGACTGCAATTCTCACATATGATGGAGGAGCAATAATTCACCGTTGAAAAACAACTGCCTACGGTCATAAACTCGCGTTGAACCCTGAATGGCCGAAGAGTCTTTAGTTTTTAATAATTTTTACTGAAACTAACACGTTTTTTCTCACAAAATGTGCTATAGAAAAATTCGAGAAAGAGAGGGAGAGAGGGAGAGAGAGAGAGAGAAAGAAAGGAGGCGAAAATTGGCACCAGTCTATTCTAATTGTCTTTTTCATCCTACAGTCACTCAAGAGGTTACTTAGTTAGTCCAATTTGCTGATCACCAGGAGCTAATAACAACTGTGCAATACTTCCACTTGAAGGTGGTTTGTGTTTTTGTGGGCAGTCCTAAGACCACGACTGAGGAATGCTGCAGGGAAAATGTCACGATTACACAGCGCAAATAAACTTCCTCTCTCACTTTCCCTCACTCTCTTCTGTAGGTGATAGAAGATGTGTGCCATCTTCTAACTATTTTACTATTTTTTCCCCTAAGAGATGCATTTCGGACGTAATTTGCAGATTATTATTC